AAAAAAAAAAAAGATAAATAACCCGGAGAACACACGTGAAAACGGCACCTACCTCATCCGCGGAGAAGCTGCATCGGCGGAGCGTTGTTTTTACGCAGCCGGATTTTCCTGGGAGACCCTAAGGAAGGTGCAGAAGGTGCGACTGGGGAAGATGCATTCGGTGCAGGCGCCCGGGCTCGCTCCAATCCCGGCCAGCTTCGCTTCTCCAAGGGAATGCCAAGGACCACCGACACCGCCTTTCGCGCAGGAAATTCGTTGTTTGTGTCGTAAATAGTCTTAGGGGTCAGGCATTAAAAGCCGCTCAGTGGGAACAGGAAGGGCAGAGCGAGGTCTGAATAAGAGCTCTGTGCTGAGACAGAGACCCGGGAGAGAGACGGGTCTGCAAGAAAAGGAGAGATTGAAGAGAGAGTGGCCCCGAAGCCTCCCTGCTCCCCCTGCGCTATTGGACAAAACTGAATGAAATTCAGGGAGCCAGCAGCCAATAGATGTCCGCACTCGGCCCCATCGCTACAGAAACCAGAGCCGCTGCTACAAGCCCGTGCACAGAGCAGCTAATCCCAGTGCAAACCAGCTGTAACCGGGAGATTCCCGGTGCCCGGGTGGTAGGTAGCCCAGGTGAGAGTCACCCTGGGCCCCGGTACCGGAGGCGCACGGAAAAAGCGCGCTCCCGGGTTTTCTCTGCGCTCTGCAAATGCCCTCGGCGCGGTGTAACAGTTGCAAACATCTTTAACTCTTTCAATTCACCTCTTTCAACGGGGAGCTACTCCTGGTGCTCAGGTTGACCAATATGTTACTCTTCTTGCTGTTACAGTGATTTTTTTTTTTTTTTCATTGGAAACAATGATATCCATGGGGGGGGAGGGGCAGCAAAATTAGAACAAAGTTGCAAAGGACTTGGACCGATGGATTGATGCCTTTTGTGTGTTTGTTTTTTCTTCCCAGGGAATGGTTTTGAGCAATAAGATACTGGCCATGTTGGTACCATTGGCCAGTTATTTTCAAATACCCCTGTTGATTGTAGGGGGTCTAGGAGTTGAATTTCCCACTGGACATCAGGTTTGCCCAGATGATGTGATTGATAGTTACTGTAGGGTTAGAGAGAAGTGGTGTTACCTGGGCAATGTGTGAAGTCTCTACCCGGTAGAAGAGGGGGCACTGTATGGTGGTGTGGGGATATGAACACAGCTTCTAAATCGAGATTGCTTGATGGTAATCATGCAGAAAATTGTAAGATGCAGAAAATGTAAGTAATCAGGTTGCCCTAGCTGGTTTGTCTCAGTGGTTAGAGTGTCTGTCAGCCCTCGGACTGAAGGGTCTCAGGTTCGATTCTGACCAAGGTCATATACCTCAGTTGCAGGCTCAATCCCCGGCCCCGTCGCAGCACGTGAAGGAGGCAACCAATCGATGTCTCCCTCTCTCATCCATGTTTCTCTCTCTCTCTCTCTCTGCCTTCTACTCTCTCTGAAAAGCAATGGGAAAAAATATCATCAGGTAAGGATTAAAAAAAACAACAACGTAATCAGCTCAATATCGCTGAGTGAAAACAGGACTCGACAGGCAAGACCCTTTAAATTAATGTCTGCTGTTCTCAAAATTATTTCACAGGCTTATGGGTTTATTTACAGGAGAAAAAAGGGTCCTGACACTTACCCCGTAGGCCGACCTCACAATTGCTTCTGCGTTTAGGAAGCAAATGAAGGCACCCTAGCTGTTATCATTATTTGGTTGGATGACATCACTAGGGTTTCTCACGAGTTTTAAGAGAAGGAATAAATGTTGGGGGTCATGGCCAATAGTGGGGAAGGCGATGGGCCCCGAGTCAGGGGACTTCGTTTCATATCAAGGGCCTGCCCTTGCTCCTTTGGACTGGTTGGAAAGTCCCTTATGTTCTGTGTGTCTTAGAGACTAGATCTGTTAAACAGGGATGAATTATAGCTCTCTTATATGTTTTCTGGGGGTGATTAAGTGAGATACTATGTATGACAACACCTTTTACTAAAGTGAGATATAAAACACATATACTAAATATGTATATTCAATATGGGAGAAACATATGTTTTATATAAGCACATATTTTCTTCTATTGGATAGATATTTAAGATCCAAAAACATAATAGCATTGCTAATAAATATCGCTTTGCTCTCAAAATCTCTCCAAAATCGGTGACATACATCAATACAGATACAAAAATATAGACGTAAACATATATATTTCCCAATGTATTGTTTAGAAACAGCCTCAGCTTGAACACAGTAACAGATAGCCGTCCAGAAAGTGATTGACTTTGCCAAGAATGAATTAATTGATTGATTTATAAATGCATCAAGCGTCTTATTTTTAGCACAGGCATAATTCTAAGCAGTGAAATTGCATTTGTGAGCAAGCCATCCATTTATTTTCGAAGGCGCACACGGCCTCATAAATGAGGTAGCCAGCGGCACAAGAAAAAAATATGATCCTAAGGAGGTGTGAGACAGTCTTATGATGTATGAATTCATACGGACCCATGGAAGTGGAGTCTTGAAGGAGGCGTCTTTGGAGGAAGAGAGCTCTGAGCAAAGGAGGAATGATAAATAGAGTGTGGAAAGAAGAGAGATTAGCCTAGAGGGTCAATGAATGTCCTGAGACCTATCTATGAAGATCTTTAAAAAGTAAAAAATAAAAAATGTTTGTGTTGATTTTAAAGAGAGAGGAAGGGAGACGGAAAGAGAGAGAGAGAAACATCAATGATGAGAGTCATCAATCAGCTGCCTCCTGCACGCCCCCTACTGGGGATCGAACCAGCAACCCGGACATGCGCCTTGACTGGGAATCGAACCCCTGACCTGGTTCATAGGTTGATGCTCAACCATTGAATCACGCCAGCAGGGCCTATCTATGAAGATCTTGAATGCCTTGCCTAAAATGTGGGCTATCTCCAGTAGGCAGTGGGGACCCAATCATATATTTTAAGCAGGTGATAGAGGAAGAATAATCACGTTTATTTTAAGACCGTCACTCTGGTGGCTATCGGGAGAATGCATCGGAAAGGGACAAGACAGAAAGCAACAGAAATATTTTCTGAGACTGTTGCAAAGATGGGTGTCCTAAAGAAACTGAGTCATAAACGACAGAGATTGAGAGACAGGAGAAAATTAAAAATCAATTGGTATGGATAAAAGAGGTCATTTTTAAATACATTAAAGCAAGGAAAAAGTGAATTTGGGAGGAAGGGTTCAGATTCACGGGTCAAGTCTCAATGCGTGTCTTAGTGTGTGGGTCGGCTGGTTGGCTAGCAGGTCGCTTCCCTGGGACATGGCACCTGGGAGAGGTCAGGCAAGGACATGCTCACTTCTGTCCGAACGATCTTATTGAGATTAAAAAAGAATACTTACGCAGACAGGGTAATTATTTTAAGAAAGAGTGAATGTAAATTTTTTTTTTTTCTAATCCTAATTACATGAGGTCAGGGTCAGAAGAGAGAAAATGAAACACACCATTTCTTAACCAATGGGAGAGCACATTGTAATACCGAGCATGGAGTTGTACTGTTTTAAATCCAGGATTCTCTGGATGAGGTAAGGGTATAATTCTTTGTGCTTTCATCAAAAATATAATTACGGAGTGTGGCAAGAGAGGGAAACAGGTCGTAAAAAGATATGAAACAATAGGGTGGCGAAAAGGACCCGTGGATATATGAGCTGGGCTTGGTACAAGAGAAAGGGGAGAAATCTGAAATGTAATTTATATGATACAATTGCTCTTTCTGATGATTCCATCTCATTATCTCCGTCGATCACATTCTGATACAATGTTGCTGTAAGGTTAACACTATCGACTCTAAATGTAGCATTGGCCAAACCAGCTCTGCCCCTGGGCAACACTAACTCATATTGTCTCTACTAATACAATGGTTGAAACAACACTGAAATATGATTAAGTAAAATAATAATTATTAGTGCAGTGGCAATATATACTCTTTTATATATTGCGTCACGCTACTATGTATACTACATAAGGTACTTAAAATCCAATAAGGTAATAAATCAGGCTCTTCAATTACTAAAACCCAAGGTAATATACGATGTATGTTAGGTTGGAGTCATATGAGAGGCATAGCACGCTTCCTGTAGGGATATGAGAAAATCCTTCATAGATAAACAAGGTTTTTATGGACAATTGGGTAGCAGAGTTGGGAAATCATTTCAGTTTCACAAAGTTGAGGAAAAAGACATAGACGTAGAGAAGACAGAGGTTATAAAAGATCAAGATAACTAAGGATCACCCAATTAGCATGTGCCTGGGATTTTATTAATAGGTTTAGGAGACAGGCACAAAAGTTGGATGCGCTGATCACTCCAACACACAAGACAATATCTTTCGATAACGTGCAGATTCTGTTTCCTCTTTTTTCCCTGATCAGGTTGGAAGGTTCCATAAGAACTTTTCAACGCGATGGACCATGGACCAAACGCATGCAGTCAGCGTTCTTGGTGCCCAAAGCTCCCTGGGTGTTACAGTTCCCAGTACAGCCGTTTACCCCAATAGGTGAATCTGAGAAAGCAGACCTGCCTTTCTCAGAATGGGAATGAGTCAGGCAACATTACAGTAGATCTTCTTGAATGTATATATATTTTTATTGATTTTTTTTTTTTAAGAGAGAGTGAGGAAGGGAGAGGGAGGGAAACATCCATGCGAGAGAAACTTGCACGCCCCCTACTGGGGATCGAGCCAGCAACCTGGGCCTGTGCCCTGCCCGGGAATCAAACCTGTGACCCTTCGGTTCCTGGCTCGACGCTCAATCACTGGACCGCACTGGCCAGGCTGCAGCAGATCTTCTCATTGAGCTCCAGACGTCAAAACACATTCGACCCCTGTCGATCTTAATCGAGAGTCAGGAAACTTTTATTTGTTAATCATAAGCCAACAGCTTATGAAACTATCCTTAAAGGGTATAAAATTAAGCCCCCCCCTCCCCGCAGAGATTAAGGAGGTGCATTTTGTTGACAGAAATTTAAACATTTACATCGCCCTTTTGAGAGATAAAGGCATCACAAAATTTTAGAGGGCTTCCGTCAGACCTCTTTTAGGATTTCGTTGCTACCGTAGCTGGTTTTTTCTTTGACTGTGTCGTCACTCAGGGGGCGAGGCTGACAATTTTACTGGGGACGACAACCACAGAGTTGCCGTTAAAATACTACGTGTGGAAAGACGCGTTCGAGGAAACTTTGTTTCCGCAACGCTTTAGGATCGCAGAGAATTACATGTTTGGATGGCAATAAACTCAGCGAGCCTTTCGGCGGCAAATTGCTCGCGTTAAGTATATAGGTAGCTGACGGGCAACATGGATGTTTATTCCGGGGAGTGGGTAATTTTTGCGTAACGGAATTTTTCCACCAAAGGG